ATATTTATAAAAATGATACGGTTTGAAAAAAATAAACCTTATAAAAAGCCATAGGCTGCGGATTGTTATATTGCTAAAGAGACACCCTGTAAACCTTTTAGCATATTTTTTTCCTTTGGAGCCAATAAAATATTGAATTATATAATGTGCTGTCATTTGATTTTAGGATGGCAATGTTCACCTACTGCTATACAATGCAGTGTTGGAGTTGTCACCCTGATGTGCGCACTTCCCATGCATGGCTTCAAGTTGCTGTGTGGATGCATGACATGCCTGAAAACCTATTTAACTAATGGGAGGAGGAATGTGGATTATACTTTGGGACATATGGGTGATATACCGGAAGGGATGTGCTCTCCCTGTCAAAGGCTTAGATAAAGACAGTCAAAAAGTGATCATGTGACGGCTATCTAAAACACAAAAGAATTTATATATTTTCTGCCAATTTCAGAAATGCCTCTTCTGCTTGTACTTCATTTTGGTTATAATAGGTTTACATATATATAATGTACAGCGCTGAGCAAGCCTTTTAGCGCTATATAAATACTGTATAATAATAATAATAATATACACTATATTACCAAAAGTATTGGTCGGCCTGCCTTTACACGCACATGAACTTTAATGGCATCCCAGTCTTAGTCCGTAGGGTTCAATATTGAGTTGGCCCGCCCTTTGCACAAGGTTTAGTAGTGTGTCTATGGGAATGTCTGACCATTATTCCAGAAGCACATTTGTGAGGTCAGGCACTGATGTCACAAGAAGGCCTGGCTCGCAGTCTCTGCTCTAATTCATTCCAAAGGTGTTCTATGGGGTTGAGGTCAGGACTCTGTGCAGGTCAGTAAGGTTCCTCCACCCCAAACTCACTCATCCATGTCTTTATGGACCTTGCTTTGTGCACTGGTGGGCAGTCATGTTGGAACAGGATGGGGCCATCCTCAAACTATTCCCACAAAGTTGGAAGCATGAAAATGTCCAAAATGTCTTGGTATGCTGACGCCTAAAGAGTTTCTATCACTGGAAATAAGGGGCCAAGCCCAACCCCTGAAAAACAACCCCACACCATAATCCCCCCTCCACCAAACTTTACACTTGGCACAATGCAGTCAGGCAAGTACCGTTCTCCTGATAACTGCCAAACCTAGACATGTCCATTGGAAGACAGAGAAGTGTGATTTCTCACTCCAGAGAACACATCTCCACTGATCTAGAGCCCAGTAGCAGCGTGCTTTATACCACTGTATACGACGCTTTGCATTGTACTTGGTGATGTAAGGCTTGGATGCAGCTGCTCGGCCATGGAAACCCATTCCATGAAGCTCTCTACGCACTGTTGTTGTACTAATCTGAAGGCCACACCAAGTTTGGAGGTCTTTAGCTATTGACTCTCCAGACAGTTGGTGACTTCTGCGCACTGTGTGCTTCAGCATGCGCTGACCCCCACTCTGTCATTTTACGTGGCCTACCACTTGGTGTCTGAGTTGCTGTTGTTCCCAGTTGCTTCCACTTTGTTATAATCCCACTAACAGTGGAGCGTGGAATATTTAGCAGCCAGGAAATTTCACGGATGGACTTATTGCACAGGTGGCAACCTATCACGGTACCAAGCTTGTATTCACTGAGCTCCTGAGAGCGACCCATTCTTTCATGAATGTTTGTAGAAGCAGTCTGCATGCCTAGGTGCTTGATTGTATACACCCGTGGGCATGGAGGGGATTGGAACACCTGAATCCAATGATTTGGAGGGCTGGCTTGACCCTAGGTTCACATCTGTGCAGGTGGTGCTGCTGCGGATTCGCACGAAAAATCCGTGCAGCCACACCACCCGCACAGAGAAATGCAGACCCACGGGCGAGTTCCATTTTTTCTAATGGCACGCCGCCCACACTGGAAAACGCAACCGTACTGGGAACCGAGGTTCTCGTGTGGGCTGCATTTTCCAAAGAAGTGCAGGGACTTCTTCCCTGCGTGTCATGGGCACGGGAATCCATTCAAATGAATGGACTCTCATGCCCGTGCAAAACGCAGCCCGCATGGCTGCATATATGTGAACCTGGGGTAATACTTTTGGCAATATAGTATACTTTAATGCACACTCAATGCCAGGTCTGCCATGTTTGGAAAACAAAATGCACTAACGTTTGAAAAAGATATTACAGATATTTTTTTTTAAAGTTTAAATTTTACAGTCTGTAGTGCTTAAAAAAATACAAAATACAGGAAAATCTACATCAGTGTCCAGACCAGTGTAACAATAGAAACTGCTGAACTGCATTAATCCATATCATCCACAAATGTCCATTAAATGTGCTGCTAACAGTTTAGATTCTTCAGGAAAATGTCATCTAAAAATAGACTCCACTATTCCACCAATGAAGAAATACATATAAAAGTAAGTCTGGGGGGTGTCTGTTGTATTACACTCTAGAGACACATAGCAGCCAGGCCCTTATAGTTGGTCCTTTGACCTCTACCTATAATTGTCATGTGACTTCCTAGGTAGCTGGCTGTAACCGTCCTAATAAATTATGTACTGGAACATCTGTTCAGTAGCAGCAGGCTTCATATGTGACACAATCTACATAGCACATATATATTATATGTCTGTTTATGCTGTTTAGTATATCCATGCATGTGTATGCATGTAAGCGCCTTGTATGCAATAGTCTATATAGGCGTGCATAAACAATAAATAAACATATATATATATATATATATATATATAAAAATTTTCTTTTTTTACAATAACTTTTAGTAAGATTTTGCATGTATCCTTATGTATGTAAGTGTTCTTTAGGAAATGGCAAAAAAAAAAAAAAAAAAATATATATATATATATATATATATACACACACACACACACACAATGTTTATATTACAAAAATATCTTTAGGTAGTTTTGCTGTTTAGTGTCTACAGTATGCAGGTACATATGTTTTTTATATATATATCATATGCTTATTTTTTTATACACAGTATATCAATTCTACAAATTATATCATAGCCATCTACATAAGGCTTCTGTCTGCTATAGCTCCTTAATTCAATTAGGAATTGCTACAGAACATTATATACAGGTATATATGACCCTATACAGTAAGAGTACAATATGCAATAGTGTGTGTATCTATCTATCTATCTATCTATCTATCTATCTATCTATCTATCTATATATAATATTATATTTTCTTCAGCACACTGTACTACAATTATCTACATAAAGCTAATGTCTACTATAACTCCATAAAAAATAATAGAAATTGATACAGAATAATACATAGTCTATATGACCCTACATCATAACCGTATATATAGTATGCTCCTACAGCTGCTATCTTGCCCTGAATGAAGGACAATCCTGACCCCCTGTCCAGTGATTCTGACGGAAGGAATTACCCCCAAGAGATCTGGGTGAGGGGCAGGGAGAGGGTAAATAGGGTGATGTGTAAAGACAGATAATAAGAATGGGGAGGTATATTGATACAGTCACAAGAAGGGATAGAATTTGAAGGTATATTGATATTGCTATAAAGAGATAATAAAACATTTACATAAAAGAAAATAATTGGAAGGTTAATTGATACAGTTGCAAGGAGAGAGAAATTGAAGGGATATTGATACAAATACATAAAGGAAATTAATTGGAAGGTATGTTGATACAGTTTTAAGGATGGATGAAATAGGAGTATATTGATACAGTTTTAAAGAGCTATTGATACAACTACAGGGAGGCAAAGAATTGGAGGGTTAAATGATACAGTTACAAGGATGGATACAATAGGAGGGTATATGGATCCAGTTATGTGGGGATACAATAGGAGGGTATATGGATCCAGTTATAGGGGGGATACAATAGGAGAGTATATGGATCCAGTTATAGGGAGGATACAATAGGAGGGTATATGGATACAGTTATAGGGGGGATACAATAGGAGGGTATATGGATACAGGGTATATATAGGGGGGATACAATAGGAGGGTATATGGATACAGTTATAGGGGGGATACAATAGGAGGGTATATGGTATATAGGGGGATACAGTTATAGGGGGATACAATAGGAGGGCATATGGATACAGTTATAGGGGGATACAATAGGAGGGTATATGGATACAGTTATAGGGGGATACAATAGGGAGGGTATATGGATCCAGTTATAGGGGGATACAATAGAAGGGCATATGGATCCAGTTATAGGGGGGGGGGATACAATAGGGGAGGGCATATGGATCCAGGGTATGGATACAGTTATAGGGGGGGATACAATAGGAGGGCATATGGATCCAGTTATAGGGGGGGGGGGATAGAATAGGAGGGTATATGGATCCAGTTACAGGGGGGATAAAATAGGAGGGTATATGGATCCAGTTATAGGGGGGATAAAATAGGAGGGTATATGGATCTAGGTATCAGGAGATATTAATACAAATACATGGAGGGAAAGCATTGGAGGGTTCATTGATACAGCTAGGGATAGAGGAATAGAATGGGGAGATGCTTCTACAAAGAAGGAGATGATGGGGGAAGGTGGAGCCTAGGAGGGGAATGATTCATGATGCCACTATGTCACTGGAAACTGCTACTACATAGGATCTCTATAGCTGGTCCTGGAATAAAGCATTCCCGGCTATAGTAGACAGGTGGGTTGCAGAGGAAGATGGAGGGATGGAGAGGAGGGATGGGGTGAGTGTAGAGGGAGGAGTTAGGATGACAGAGATGATTGATGTTGCAGTATCCTATGGGGAGCTCATCTGGCCTGATTTTGGGGAACATGCAGAGTGGATGGGGTAGCAGCCGTCCAATGCAGGGGTCAGGACTGACATCGTCCAAGGACTGACAACACAAGGGACTGATGGCACAGAGGACAGGGATGGATGTGGTGCATGATGCAGCTACACATCCGCAGCAGCCAGGGAGGGGTCTGATCAACAGACATAGACATGACAATAACAAGATATCGGGGCCCCCCACCTCCCTTGCACCCCCAATATTCAGCTTACTTTCTCCCACCACCGCCTTGAGCCCGCTGGGTGCCATCCTGACCCGGTCCAAGCGCTAAATCCGATCCAGGTGCTGTGCAGAGAGGAGATCGGAGAGGAGAGGGGAGAGGAGGGCTGCTGTCAGCTGACTGCAGGGGATGGGGTGGAGAGAGCTGAGGGAGGAGGGAGCAGGATCTGCTGCTGCTGCTGCTGCTGATGATGATGATGGTGAAGAGGAGGGGGAGAGGATGGAGCACTTATCAGCTGACCAGAATACAGGAGGAAAGAGCATCAGAGGGGAGGGATGCTGCAGCAAGAAGGTGGGGTGACATCTTGGATCAAGTGTCACTAGGACCCCCCCTGTCCTTCTACCTCCTCCAGTCCATTCTATCTCCTACTGATCTTTGTCCCCAGCACAATGTTCATATTTATTAATACATCTCCATAAAAATAAACCCCTTGTCTCTGTTTGTCATCTATTGCAGCTTTTCTCCACTTTTTTTTTTAACATGAAGGAACCCTTGAAATCACTTTCTGGGCTCAGGGATCCCCTGCCAATTATTACTACATATGGAGCTCAGAATGCTCCCTACAATTGTGGCTGTTAGGAAGAATCCCCCCTTACAGATAACAACAAAAAAATCATTGGTTACCCATCTGAAAGGAAGAAGCTGCACATTGCTCCAGGAACCCCCAGCAACCTCTGGTGGAACTTACATGCTCCATTGTGTTTTTTGGGATAGCATTGACTTGGCAGTTTGGCATGGCAACTGGGTGGTCTGGCTGGTCTTACTAGCTGCACCCCCCCCCCCCCCCCACGATTGTATCTGGGCATATTGGACATATGCATGTTGTCTATGGTGGGCACAATTCAATTGTGTACTGTACCATCTGTAGCACATAACTGCACCCAGTACAAGGACAGGTTCGTCCAATGTCCAGAGCTGCACCCCCCTTCTATGCAATGCCATACCCGTACCACCTTGCACCCGTCCTTTGCCCCCCTTGCTCTAACTGCCAATGGTTGGCATAGCGTGTTCACTTCCTCTGCATGGCCAATCACCTGCTTTATTGTGGGTAGAAGGCAGCTGCACATGCAGTGTGTTATTGTGTCAGCTGTGGGCAGATATGGTGGTATGTTGGAGCATGGTGTGACAGCAGTAGCTGTCAGCGCAGACATGAAACTATGGCCCCTTTTCACTAGCCACTGATCTGTAGCTTGTGTGTGGTGTGGGGGCACTGTCCCCTACAGCTGCACCCTGGGTGGCTGTCCCTCCTGCCCACCTCTTGTCCCGGCTCTGACTGCACCCCCCGTTTCATAGTTGGTAAGGTTGAATAAAGACACTAATCCATACAGTACAACCTATGTGTGTATGTGGTGTGTGTTTATGTCTCTACCAGTTCCCACATCCCTGTATATTGTGTTCAATAAAAGTGTTCAATGCTCATCTTAAAATTCTTTGAAATCAGCAACACTTCCCACTGAAATCACTGATTGTGGAAGGGACTTCCACATTCTTACCACTCTGACAGTAAAGAACCCCTTGCACAGTTTAATGGGTAAACCGTTTCTCATCCAACTTCAGTGAGTGGCCGCATGACGCCTTGAGTCACCTGAGACCGCATAGTTTCCACCCAATGTTGGAATCAGCATTAGGATAGTTGTCAATGTCAATTTTTTCAAATACCCTTGCATTCAGTCACTTTTTTTGTAACTTGCAAATTTTTAATTAAAAAATTGTTGAAAAAAAAAAACAACCCGACACCCCAAACTTCTTTTAGAGACTCTTTATAGCTGCCTATACATTCACCATAGATCCAAACATATCTTCTGATTCTTTAATTTTTTTTAGAGAGCAAAATCTATCATAAAAGGCTGCTGTGTTTTTCAATTGTACATTTAATTACACAGGGCTGATTGAAACGAAGAATTTTGAGTATAGCATGCATACACTAAAGTGCTTCCTTATGCACAATGCACTAGACATGAAAACATGGAGTGTGCAAAATGGTCTAAGCCAGCCTTTCTCAACCTTCTAACCCTTTAGGAACTATGGAATAATTTCCAGGTCTCTGGGAACCACTGCTAAATCCAATTCATAGGGGTAAAGTGGAAAGAATGTCCTCCTTAAATCTGTGGTCAGTGAGAAGAATGTCCCTACATTGGTGGTCAGTGGGAAGAAGGTTCCCTTACATTGGTGGCCATTGAGAAGAACGTCTCTACATTGGTGGTCAGTGAGAAGAATGCTACTTACAATGGTGGTCAGTGGGAAGAACGTCCCCCTTACACTGGTGGTCATTGGGAAGAAGGTCCTTTACATTGGTAATCAGTGGGAAGAATAGAATGTCCTTTATGTTGCTGGTCAGTGGAAAGAATGCTCATATTGGTGGTTGAAAAATGCTTCTTTCATTGGTGATCAGTAATGATGAGCTGAAAGTACCTTGGTTCAGTTCAAGCAGGGTTTGGGGAACATTACTAAAGTTCAGGTGACAAAATTGAACCACATTGAAGTCAATAGGAACCAAATGTTAAAAACAGGTTTGGCAATTTTTTGTACTAAAAGGCAAGGGATTATCAAATGGCATGGAGGGCTGGGTACCGACCTGGTGGACATGTACCAAAGGAAAAAAAAAAAAGAAATTCAATTTTGTGGGGACAGCTATTATAGTAATACTCAAAATTAAATTATAAAAATACTCCATTAAAACTTATTGTCCCTGCTGAAACATTTACAAATGTAACAAAAAATGTGTTTAAATTGGTGGCAAAATGATAGCTCAAAACCTCTTTGCATTATTTGTAAACAAAATGGTTGGGAATTCAATTCCAGACCCTTATTCTAGATGATGGTCTGGTATACATGTTAATAGGGGACTCCCAAAAGTGTAGATGGGCAATTTGTTGTCTTCCTGCACAGAGATATACAGGGAGATATACCCCCAGGTGGTTCCATAGGATCCCCTTTTTCTGGCGTTGGGTTCAGGAGAAGGGTGAGATTAATTTCCTGCCCCTTTTTTTTGCAGTCCTTCCCCCCCCCCCCTCCCAAATTCTTACTTCCTTTTATTCTCTAGGCCTAGACCCACATATTACATTTAGATTACAGGGGACTCTAGCCTGTGATTATTATTTTGCTGTGGCATATTTCATGTTGAAACTCGATTCATACACTATGTCCTAGACAAGTGTTGCATGCTCTCCAGATTCATACCCTCATTCAAGGAACTCTGATTGATTAAACTCAACCCCATGGGTGGCCTGAATAACATTTTTTTGTGTATTTTCATTTTATTTTTTCCTATTTGTGACTTTAATCCAGTATACCTGTTTTTGTAAACAGGTAAATCGTTAATAAATACTGAATGCATAAATATGGGTGATCCCCACAATTCATAACAGCCACTTTAGGTCTGGTATGAATTTTAAGGAAGAGCCATGCGAAAAAAAAAACAGTGTGAGTCCCCCAATTGAGTGTTGAGTGTTGTGCACTTAAGCTTATCACTTATATATTTTTGTTTTTTGCATTTTATTTGATTTTTGGTAGTATAATTTTATGAGTTTTTTGTTTAGCGCTACACTGTGTATATCATTTGCCATTTACACTTATTGGGTATAAGGTTAGTGTTAGCAGCTTTAGGGTTAGGGCTTCATTTAATTCAGGAGGATCTTTTTTACATTAATGCCCAGCTATAATACCTTGGTCCTGTGTCCCAGCAGCAAAGAAGCAAGTCTCTGATGGAATCACGCAATTGGGGTGACAAGCGTTCCATCACACAAGTCCTTTATTAAAAATACATTTTTTAAAAATGCCCCACGATGTACTTCCACATCCTCCCACACCTGTCATCAGCAGTATATGGGAAGGGGCTATGTGGCCCTATTTAGTCAGTGATGTCACCCCCTATCCCCTCCTTTGCTTACATATATGGGTAGGTTATGTCAGTTGTTGGTGTAGCGCCCTCTAGTTTAGGTAGGATTTTTGTCTGTGAGTCAGAGGCTTGCTAGAAGCCTAGGGATGAGTCAGCCAGGAAGTGAGGCAGTGAGGTTACCTCAGGTCACGCTGGGAGGCTCTACAGGTCAGGGCTTCTGGAGCCCTCCCACCCTTCTAGAAAGCTCTGGTACTTTCTAGAAGAGGGGCGGAGAAGGGGAAGAGGCCTGGATTTGCATGCAGGGAACTTAGCCAATCCTCAGGCAGGAGGCCTGGCATGGTGGTTAGGAAAACCCTTAAATGGGGGAGAGCCTGAGCAGCAGGGTTGTTTTTGTAGTCGAGTGGAAGATGGAGTAAAGGAAGGTGTTGGTATGTGGAGCCTGGGAGGGGCCCCAGCAGAGGGGGACTACCTACAGGCTAAAGTTGGACAGAAGGACCTCCACTGTCCTACAGTCTACTAGGAAGGACAGCCAGGAAGGAGCCGGCCTAGCGTAATGCCTGAACGCAGCATCAACCCATTAAGCTACAGGAAAAGGACAGTGTGAGTACTTCTACACTCCCTGGGTTAAAAAGAGGCGAGGGCAGTCAGGTGCAATACCCAACTAGTTCTCACTGGGACTACTTTATTGTAGCTCTTGGAATTCCTTGCTCAGGGACATCCTCAAGACGGCCGGGTGGATGAGCAGAGTTTCATCTGAGGTCTGAGAAGGTTCACCAAAGGGGACTCTATGCTCATTACTAAGACTGTAGCTGATATTTGTTAATTTTTTTTTTTTTCATATTAAATCTTTATTATTTTTACAGAATATACAGTACAGAGACAGTTCATACTATCGCACAGAAATACAGAGATTCCAGAATTGTATATAGAATTGTATATAGGGTAAAAGAGGAAAAAGAATAAACAATAATATTAGGAATACACAGTTTTGACTTCTTTACAATCTTATAACTGTTCAGCCATATGATCATGAATACAATATTTTACATGAATAAGCGTATTCCATGAGTAAAGTGTACTGCCATATTAGACAATACAAATAGAGAAAGGAAGAACAATTAAATAAACAATTGTGCAAACAGTTGTGCAAAAGGTCTGCCATGGGTACTTGGTATATTTAAATTCAATATA